CTGCTCTTTAGGAAAGCCATGGTTTGCTGAGCTGCTGGCATGACTAGGTTCCCTATACAAACCTTCCTGGCCAGCCGAGAAGCCTGAGGTGTTTTCTGTCTATCTGGCCCAGTACAGAGCACTGTGCTGAACACTGCCCTGGTGTCCTTAGCCTATTCTTTTTCTCCACTGTTTATCCAATCCTAGTGAAATGCTACTTTAGATAGTAATAGGCACCACACAAAAGGCCTGGGAACCTTGAGTAATTTAGTTAATTCCCTATGTGCCTGTTTGCTGAAGTGTCTAGATGAAGACATTGATACTCACTTTCAAAAGTCAGCCCTAGGCACAGCATTTATGACATCACATCATTTAATTGTCCATCCATTGTGGAACACAGTTTTTTCCCCAATTTTATGGATGAGGATACTGGAAGATGGGTCTGAGTTTTAGACCAGGTCTATGAATAATATTGATTTCAGTTCCAAGGTATCATGCTCCTTTTTTTTTTAAGTACTGGAGATAAATCTCGATATTTCACAGAATCTAGAGCTTAGGGGCATCTAATGATTGCCTGGATTAGATTAGATATGAACACAAATTTCTTGTAATGCATTCTTTTAATATATTTTTTTTTAATTTTAGGTCAATCAGTGATCTGAACTGATATGCAACCATAAACAAAGTTCAGTTGTCTCAGTTTATAAATTCTTCTCTGAGGAAAATTTTACTCTTTCCCTAAATAAGGGGAAAGGATGGAATTGATATCATGTAGCGTTTTATTTATACCACCCCTTGAGGTTTCCCTTAAACAGCAGAACTTGAGTATTTCATTAAATCATCGTCTTGGGAACATAGTAATTCATGGTATATTTAAATGATGGCTTTGGAAAGACTGTGATGCAGAACAACCATATTGATTACTGAGTATTTCCAGTTGTCAAAGCATGATTTAATAAAGAATACAATCTGGGCTGGAAAACTAGCTCAGCAATTAAGTTGTACACTGTTCAGAGGACACAAGTTCCCAGCACCCACGTCAGGCAGCCTGTAACTTCTAGCCCCAAAAGAGTTTGATACTTTTGGCCTCTGTGGGTACCTGTATACTTGTACATTCCCGCACAGCCACACAAAGTTAAAATACCCTTTCTCTAAGTTAGGAAAGATTAATTAGAACAATTTTAATAAGAACAATTATCCCTGATTAACTTCATGACCCTGTGATTTTTTTTTTTTCCTTTTAGTTTCCCAGTTTTCTCTTGGGAATGCTTTTTTTTGTTGTTGTTTTGTTTTTCAAGACAAGGTTTCTCTGTATAGCTCTGGCTGGCCTGAAACTTCCTCTGTAAACCAGGCTGGTCTTGAACTCATAGAGATCCACCTGCCTCTGCCTCCCAAGTGCTGGGATTAAAGGCATGCACGACCACTACCCTGCAAAATGCTTAATTTTTTTTTCAGGTTCTTTCCTGTTTTTTTGGGTTTTTTTTTTTTTTTTTTTTTTTTTTTTGAGGGCGTTAATGTTTGTATTAACTTTGGATAACCTGTGAATTGATGCATTTTGCACTGAGGACCAGGAAGACGAAATGTTTTGTTTATTCAATGCCCATTTTTATTGCCTACTATGCCCAGCATGTAAGGATTCAAGAGATGGATTCTTTATTTTCTCCTGAGTTTTACATTCCTTTTGAAAAAGCACAGTATACCTCTCCATCTAGCTGTCATGCAATACCCCCATATACAAAGACATCATATCTCACTAGAAACAGCAAACAGTCAATTAGACATAACTAGTAAACCCAGATCTAACCTCAGTGATGTTACCATGAGCATGAAGTAGGAGGATGCTTCCTGAAGAGTCACTTCTTGCTGTACCTGAGAGCTAGCTTTGGAAAGACAGGTGCTCAAGTCTGGAGACTGGTGGTGAGCTTGGCTTGTCCCCTGTGCCTTGAGATGAGGGTGAGCTGACTCTCAAAGCATGTACCCTCGTACTTCATTCACCCACCAGCCCTGTGATTCCCTGACTTTCTTGTCTTCCTTTCCATCTGTTGCTTGCACTACAAGCCAGGTGCAGCCTGTCCTCTCACAAATAGCCACTGCTCACTTCTTATCAGTGACCTAAATTCCTATGAGCCTTGTGTGATCTGATCACTATCTACTCGAAATATAGTGCTTTAGGTCTTTTTCTGGTTTCTGGTATTTATTTATTCATATAACCAGGCTATATATGTTTTCAACTTGATCATATCACAGCATTTATTAAAATAATCATGAATAACAAGCCAGCTCTCAAAATTAAGAATACAAACACCATTTCTTGAACATTTGTGCAAAGTCAAGACATGCATTAATGTTTTCCCAACCGTGGCTAGTCCTTAAGACTTCCTTAGTCACAACTGATTTATGAGGACAGACTGAACATCTGTTTGTTATAAACGTTGTATCAAGAAGAGTTTTTGCTGTACGAACATTTTTCACTTTCTATAAAATTAAAACATCCCATTCAGAACATGATGAGGTTTCAAGACTGAACAGGTTCCATGTTGAAAGCATTCATGAAACTATAAAAACATTTGAAATCTGTAGCCGTTCTTTTTATCTATTTTATTTTTGGTTTCTTATATCTCTACCTCCATTCTGCACCCCAATCTCTTCCAACGCCTCAACCCCAGGTGGGAGAGAAAGAAGATTAGTGGGGAGAGGGGCCATAGTTCTCTATAGCTATTTCCTGCTGTTTAGGGACATAGTCCTTTGAGGAAAATCCAATCTTCATTTCAGACATCTCCAACTTCTTCTCATCAAACTGCAGCAACAGCAACCAGGAGCAGCAGCCTCCCCCCACCCCATCCCTTGGAGTCCCCTGACCCTCTCTAGACTCTGGCATTTATTTTCCCCAGAATTAAACTATCCACAGCTGACAAAAATCATATCCTCTCAGAGCCCACACAAGGCAAATAGTCTGCTGCTGTGGACAGTCTAAAGCAGCCCCATATCTCACACCTGAGATTAAAACAAAAACATGTTTACATAACTGATTTTTAAAAGAAACTAAAACTCCCACTACAGAAATAAATGAATCTTCCAAATTCAGGACAAAGTTTCAACTGTCATTCAGATTTTTAGCTTTATTAGAGATTCTGTTATCTTAACAAAGTTGGGGGAAATGGGCCTAGCTGGCCAAGTGCATCTGTGTCTGCTGCTACAGGCACCATCCTTTCCTTGAAGGCTCTTTACTGTGGCCACATATTCCCTGAGAGCACTCAGGCCCTGGCAGAGGAACCCTGGGTTGATACGCTCTCTTCATCACCACCTGATTGACAGTGCTTGCCTCATACTTGATTTCCTGCTTACAATCCTCCCAGAAAGGAGAGAACTTCTCAGTTATGTTTGTCATTGGCTCTCTAAAGTGGCATCATAATAAAACTAAAGCAAGTCACAGTAAGATTGACAGGTGATGAATACCTGTAATCCTAACACTTGGGAAGCAGAAACAAAGGACCATAGTGAGTTCAAAGGCATCCTGAGCTACAGAGTGAGACACAGTTTGAAAATAAAAAGTGTGAGCCCGGTCAGTGGTGCACTCAGGGAGGAAGAAGCAGACGGATCTCTGTGAGTTCGAGGCCAGCCTGCTCTACAAATCGAGTCTAGGACAGCCAAGGCTACATAGAGAAATCCTATCTAAAAATAAAAATAAAAAGTGTGAGAATTAGAAATAAATCGTTTAATAACTCATCACTGTTATATTTAGATATTAATTCCATTGCCTTATCTTCCTCAGTTTGAGTTCCCTTTGACTTGAGCACAAGCATTCATTGCTTCTAGTTCCTAATTTTATACACAGTGTGACCAGCTGCTTCAGTCGCCTCCTCCTTTGACTTCCCTGCCCCATGATGGGTTATACCCCTAAACTGCATAATAAAATAAATCCTTTCTTCCTTGTGTTGGCTTTTATTGAGGTATTTTTATCACAGTAACAGGAAAAGAAACTAAGGCAGAGGCCAAAGCTAGAACTTAAGTCATGACACTAGTGCTTCTTCAGAACACAAAACTGAGAGTTAATGAAAGAAATCAACATAGTTTCTGTGTGTAGCATATAAAAATTTTACCATTACAGAGATCTAAGGTCATCATGGCTGCACATACCTTTAGTCCTAGCACCTGGTAACTTTCAGGCCAGCCAAAGCTACAGAGTAAGACTTTATCCAGATAGATAGATAGATAGATAGATAGATAGATAGATAGATAGATAGATCGATCAAATTTGCATTAATAAAAAAATCATTGCAAGTCAGTGTCTAACAAATACTACGTTATTCATTAAACTGATAAAAAGTACATTTTAGTAATTATGGAAAAAGAGATGGTTGCTAACTATAGTAACTGGAAAGGAATGTCTTCAGAAATGAGTTATGTTTACATTTAACTTAGCTTATAGTTAACAGTAGTTTGTATTTTTAGCAAAGTACTTTTCACTTTTGTTTGTTTGTTTGTTGTTTTCTGAGACAGGGTTTCTGTCCAGAAACTCACTATATAGCCAAGGCTGGGCTCAAACTCCTGCCTCTGCCTCCCAAATTCAGGGATTAAAGGCATGTGCCACCTTGCCCAGCTTACTTTTTGTAATCTTCTGATCTTGTTGAAGAATGCAAGCAGTCTTGAAATGTCTTTTTTTTTTTTACTTTAAAAAATAATTCTAGACTTATAGTGTAGAATTTTTGTGATCTTCTGAAAGCTTTCCTTGCCATTACCAATGTGCATGTAACTACTATAAGATTATCTGAGCCAAAAAGTTAGCATTAGAATGGTATGTTGGGGGCTAGAGACATGGTTCAAGCCATTAAGAACATGTGCTACCCTTACCCAAGTTCAGTTCATAACACACATTATCAGTTGGCAGAACCACCTGTGACTCCAGCTCCAGGACATCCAGCACCCTCTACTGGTTCCTAAGGGCACTTCACTCATGTGCACAAACACATACACACACAGACAATAAAGAGATGTAAATTTTTAATGCATGAGTAAAATTTATAAGTAGCCAAAGAAAACTTGAAGCTACTTGATGTTTTGTGGTTTAAGAACAATACTTGAATACAGTCTTATGCATGAAAATGCATAGGATGAGATTTCTCTAACTCTAATATAATTGTTTTCAAGATGAAGATATTCTAGAGCTGAGTCCTCATCCTCTTCAGCACTGCAGATTTGTTCTGGAAGAATATTCCTAAAGAAAGATGGACATAGAAATTCTAAGCAGTCCAAGAATCTAACGTTAGCATTTAGAAGTTAAGTTTTTAATAATGTTGCAGTTAGGCATGACATGGTGACTCACATTTGTAATTCCAGAACTCAGGAACCTAATGAAGACTTGCAGTGAGTTTAAAGACGACTATAAGAAATGAGACTGCAAGAGTGCTCTAATGGAGCAGACTCACAACCTGCAAAGTGAGGGAGCTCTTCCTACTCTTTGATTTAAAACAGAAACCTCTCTTATTGTATAGGGATATCCAAGACTGATCTTGAACTCCTGAACCTGTTGCCCTTACCTCTCAATAACTTGAATTATAAGCATGAGCCACCATACTGGTTCCATACTGTTTCATATTGTTCTGGTAGTCACCCATGTTCCCTAGGCAGGCATAATGATTAAACAAGAAGAAACATGTCTCCCAAAGTGAAGGAGGTTGAGTCCCAGTAAATTTATTCAGAATTTGCCTGTGTGAAACCCTAGATTCTACTCTGCAGATCACACTCTGTATATACATGGGGATTGTAGTATAGTATATTTATTGCTTTACAGCCTTAAATGAATCTATCTTCAAGGCTCTACATATTATTTAACAATATTCTACTTAATATATGGAAAATTATAAAATTAATACAAAAGTAGAAATTATTATGAATCTTCACATACCTATTGTTCTATTTTAGGCATTACTAACATTGCCAGTTTTTTTTTTGTTCTAATTACTCTTTAGCACCATTTTTTCTCTTCAAAATAAATGCAAGGGTGTATATTTTGGGTGTTTGTCAACCAAAATTTAAATTGATACTTGAAAAATCCAAAATTTACCGAATCTTATTGTTGTTCAGCCTCAGAAAATGCAGTGCTTTCATTTCTCCTATTCCGGGTGGTATGGACTTTAGGTCATTGTGATCCAGAAATAATTCTCTCAGAGAATGATATGCCCCATAGAATGAGACCAGGTCCACACCATCATCAGAAAGTCTATTAAAAGACAGGTACAAGTACTCCAGGCCTGGTTCCATGTGGCCAAACACATAGCCAGGGATCCGTTCAATTTGGTTCCCAATTAGTACAAGGTGCAGCAGAGACTTGGGTAGATAGGAGGGAACGTGGTAAAGCTTGTTGTAGGACAGATCGATAGATTCAAGATTTCTGCAACAAAGGAAAAGTGAACAGGATAATGAACCTCAAGAGACTGACTGATCATCCTGATGATCCTAAACAGAACTAGATTATATGCCAGCCTTGGTCTGTCTGGCTCTCAAGATCATGTTCATACCAGTATTCACACCATTCTTTAGCTATGGGTGTCGTATCAGAGTCCAGGTAGAAAACTCAGAGCCTTTGGGAAATGGGGGAACTAAGTTCAAATTGTTAATCAAATGACATCCAGGAGCCTTTAGTTGCAGTGTTTCCTGATTTAGGGTGAGGGTGGGTTTGCCTTTATTTTTTTTGTTCTTACTTATTTATAATCTGGCAAATCTGAGACTTCCAGAGAGATAAAGGGATTAGAGTGATATGGAAGGATCTAGAAGCATTCATGCCCTGGGAAGTCCCAGGAATGTGGTAAGCTCCCTGCTTTATTTCAGAAGCTTCCCACAAGTCTACAAGGGCTTCTGCCCAGTCCTTTTCCTGAAATAAAGGACCCCTCTATTCATGAAAGACTTCATTATCCCTCAGCTGGGTCCAAAGCCTCTTATCATTTCTCTGAACAACCCATTTCCCAGGCTAGTAGACTTGTTGGCATATTTTTGCAGACATGCAGCCTTTGTCTGTACATATCCATTGAACATGATAATCAGACAGGGCTTGCCTTCAACTCATTCAGTCATTGCTAAAGACTGCAAATAGGCTGTTGATTCCTATCTAGGAAGGTGGATTATATTTTGTACCTCTATTCTCAAACAAAGCCTTCTTAAGATAGAGAAATGGTTTGAGTCAAAGAAGGCAGTATGATGTAGAAGGATAGGTCTGGCCTCCACAGTCTGGCATTTCCATTTAATGGTGAAGAAAAGGGTTGTCTCCTTACTCCTCTCTGTGTGCAGATGATTATGCCATTTAAACAACCTCTGAGGTAAACACGCTGCTAGGGTAACATTTGACTGTTGGGGTCAGCCCTCATTTTTTGCCAGCTCAGCACTTAAACGTGTTCACAGGCAGTGTAGTGGTCATAATGCCAGTTGTATAATGAATGGTTTGGAAACTCAGGGAAGTAGCTAATTGTTGGAATTAACAGTAACAGTTCCATGGGAAGGGATGCTTAGAAAGTTAAACTGTGGTAGATACTTACTCTTGATTTATCCATGCTAAAGGCGCAATCCGACTTTCTTCTATTTTATTATAACGTAATACAATCATAGTGATCTTTCTGGTGTGATTGAAACAAATTTCAGTTATTTCTTCAATTTGATTATTTTCTAGGTATAACTCCTATAAATAAGAGAAAATATTATTTTTCTTCCATTGGTGTTCAGTGATGCTCAATTTCACAAAAACTGAAATAGACTATTCTCATTAGTATTACTTCAAGTCATATTATTCAAGTTAGTTCATGCTTTTAAGTGGTCAAATTGTATAGCTACTAAAATAAAAGGTACTACCTGTCAGGCTTGTGGTAGTAAATCAATTTGCGTTGTGTGTTAGGCATATGCATATTTGAGTGGGCTGTACATGAACATGCGTGCAGGAGCATGTGAAGGACAGGTTGGTATGAGGTGTACCTTTTTCAGTCACTCTCCACCTCACTTTTTGAGACAGGATGTCTTACTGAACCTAGTGATCACTGATTCCCCTAGACTGAACTAGTGGGTTCCAGAGGTCCCCTGTCTCCCTGTCTCATGCTGGGAAGACAGATGCACACTACCACATAAAAACCTGAATAGGTGCTAGAAATCAAAGTTGGATCCTTACATTTGTGTGGCGAACATTTTACCAAGTTATCTCTTCAACCAAATAAGCTTAGCTTTTTAGCCATAACACATGATACAGCATATCATGTAATCTTATAAATTACCTGAGTAATTATAAACTTATAATTACTTTTATAAACTTGCGTTAATTATGTCACTTGAGCTGCAAAACACTGAAAATTAGGAGTAGAAATAATCACAACTTACCAGTGAGAAGCTCAGGCCTGTAGGAAGGTGAATGCCCACCCTGGGTTCCAGGGCTGATGCATGAGGGGCTGGCCTGGCTGAGCCTTAGCATCAGACCAGCCTCCCAGTATTCCATAGTACCTATAATTATTTTAGGCCCATGTTTTTAGATGAGTTATAATTTATTACTCATAAAGTTCATTAAGAACCTTAACTTGGATAAGAGTGCACTTTACTAGAACTACCAAGTTTTGAGTAGCCAGCTACTTTTAAGTTCCTGGTATTAGAAAAACATTTGTACTAAAAGTTCTGAATTATTAAGTTTTTCTGGCTGTACTTAGGATGCATGAGTAGAATTGGCTTATATGTTAAATGTAACTTTTTATTCACATCATGGTTATTTTCATTTACTAACTTAATTTTGGCATGTGTTAATGCATAAAACAATATTCCAGCTTTTTGCTTTATTGTCCTGTGTAATTAAGGGATGAATTAATTATATGAGAGGTTTCCAAACTCACATGTATAACAGAATCACCTCATGAGCCTTGGAAAGTAGAAATTCCTACCCAAATACATCCCAGGAAGAGCTATTTAAGTAAGTTCTGGATTACTCTTCCATATGCAAAGACTCTGAAGCTTTAGGAAAGATTGCTTTGTGACAGCCTTCAGATGTGTTACTTGCAGGCTGGCCTTTAAATAGCATGTGCTGTTTACTGTATGTCCAGAATTTCCAAGGTTAGTGGAAATAGGTCCCTTTGGAGAGACAGAAGCCAGGCTGGGAACATCACCTAAGTTGAACATGTATATGTTTTGCCAGTTGCATGTATCAAAATATTTAAAATGTCTTTACATTTATTTTATGTGCATATGTGTCTGTGGATAGACACGTGTGGAGATCAGAAAACAACTTGTATCAGATACCTCTACAGTATGACTCTCAGGGGTCAAACTCAGGTGTCAGGGTTAGTTATCATCAGGTGGGTTAGCAGTTGAGCCATCTCCTTGGCCCCTAAAATTTTCAACTTTAAAAAATAATTTTAGATGTCTGACCTTGCTAACCAAGCATCAGAATTAGCATGTCAAGGATAGGTCCAGGCGTTTTTATGTCTTAATGACTTACATGAGGGCTTGAGGATAGGGGTTTGATTCTCAGTACCAAATAAAACAAGGCGTGGTGGTACATGTGTATAATTTCAACACTTGGAAGGTAGAAGCAGAAGGTCCAGGTGTTCGAGCCTAGCCTGGGATAATAAGGTCTTCTTTAAAAACAAAGTACTAGAGGATTTGGATGTGAAGCCAGGTGCTGGTAAATGCCATTGTTACATAGCTATGTCTCCTCAGCAATAGCAGAGGCAGGAAGGTGTAGTCGGACAGCTGCGTGAAATCACAATAGCTGGACCTCTGTTCTGGGTAACTAGGACTAGAGGAACTCTATTCTGGCTTTGTGTGGGATGAACATGAAGTTCAGATAAGGAAACCTGAATTGCAGCTCTGGACCTCATGTTCCTAATTCAAGTAATGAGCATTAGTAGTTGATGGCCAAAGACCACCTGAACAGGAAAGAACACTCCTAGGAGCCACTCAGGACTCTAGAAGATCTGAAACAGGAACAGGCTCTAGAGCCAGAAGTCAGACACAGTACAGTTTAGGGTAGAACTGGTGGACATTTCTAAGCTTCGGAGTTGCTGAAGTAGTCCAGGACTTATTGGTATAATTATTTTTTTTTTAATTTTCCTTAATTTTCCATTTGTTTTATTCACTTTAAATCCTTGTAGCCCCTCCCTTCTCCCTTTCCAGCCCCATCCTCCATTCTCCACCATCTCCTTATCTTCATAAAAGGGGTGCTCCTTTTCCCATCCACCCCAGCTCATCAAGTTGCATCAGGACTGATTGTGTCCTCTTCCCCTGTGGCCTGTCAAGGCAATCCCGAGGGGAAAGTGATCTAAAAGCTGGCAAATGAATCCATGTCCGATGCAGTCCCTACTTCCCTTACTCTTGAAGCCTAAGCTGCCCATCTGCTACATCTTTGTATGGGGCCTAGGCCCAGTTTATGCATGACCTTATGGTACAATTCTTAAGTCCATGATCCTTTCATATTGTTACTATTAGGTCAGAATGTGGCTTTACTCAGGTTTTACACACACACACACACACACACACACACACACACACACAAAATCTACTAAGCCACGTATATGTATTATATATATTTATACATATTTATTATCTACTAAGCTGTATGTATAGCTAATACATAAATACTTACAATACAAGCCTAACAACCTGGACTTGAGCCCAAGAATCCATGAAAGAAGGAAGAAAAACCAATACTCAAATGTTGTGCTCTGACTTCCATTTACACCTTGTGATATGTGTGTGCATGTATTGATGCATGTCTCTGTTTCTCTCTGTGTGTCACACAGACAAACACTAATAATAATATTTAAAGGATATATTTATCTTCTATATTTTTTTTTTGTCTTATGTAATACATTTAAAACATTAGAAGAAAAGCCAGGCCTGGTGGCACACACCTGTAATCCCAGCACTCAGGGAGGCAGAGGCAGGCATATCTCCGAGTTCAAGGCCAACCTGGTCTACAGAGGGAATCCAGGACAGCCAAAGGTACACAGAGAAACTGTCTCAAGATACCGACACAAACCAAAACAAAATTAGAATTTTATTGTAATGGTCCACACCTTCAGTTCCAGCACTCAGGAGGCTGAAGCAGGAAGATCATGATTTCTAGGCCAGCATGGCCTACACACTGAGATCCTGTCTCAGGAAATAAAACAGAAATTAGAAGAAAGATATCAGTACCTCAATAGAAGCAGGAAGACCTTGTGGTATGATTCTAAATTTGTTTTTTCCCAGACGGAGGTATGATAGGCTCTTCAAAGATTTGAAAGCTAAAGGGTTGACATTGATTTCACTGAGATTATTTCCTTCCAATTCTAAGGTGACAAGTTGATTTAAGTCTAGAAAAATAAAATTATCCAAATATTAGAATAACTTTAAAAGCATGCAGTTTGAAGTCTGATGATGTGGCACAGTGGCAAAATCTTGCCTAGGACCTGGGCCAGAGCCCCAGCACTGCAGAAAAAAGAAACAGTAAACAGAAGAAAGAAACCATTTGAAAAACAGTCAGTGTATTTGGACTTTGTAATTTCTCTTTCTTTGCTTCCTCCGTAATTCCATTTCCTGAGAATTTTATAAGTGGCTTCTGCACAATTCTACCAGGACAGGAGTCATTGGGGAAAATCATTCAGGTGTTGAAGGGTACAAATATTATATAAGGAACAGAAACAAGAAAGAAGGTAGACAGAGAGTAAGGATCACCTCTAGAGGCCATGCTGTCTGTGCTGGACAGTTTTATATCACCTTGACACAGCTGCAGTCATCTGAGAGGAGGGAACCTCAATTGAGAAAATGTCTCCATAAATCCAAGCTGAACACAAGCCTATAGGGCATTTTATAATTAGTGATCAGTGGGGGGGAGGGATGGGGGGACTCATCCCTTTGTGGATGGGACCACCCTGCATTTATGGTATTGGGTTCTATAAGAAAGCAGGCTGAGAATGCCTTGGGGAACAAGCCAGTAAGAAGCACCCTACGTGGCTTCTGCATCAGCTCTTGCCTTGGAGTTCCAACCCTGCTTAAGTCCCTGTCCTAAGCTTCCTTTGATAATAAGTAGGGATGTAGAAGAAAAAGCCAAATAAACCCTTTCCTCCCAAGTTACTCTGGTCATAGTGTTCATCTCAACAATAATAACCATGATTAAAACACTTGCCAAGCGGGAATTTCAAATTGAAGGAGTAGGGTATCATCAAAATTATTGGAGGCATTTGCAGATGCCTATAGGTATGAATTGGTAATGCAATAGGCAATGGGATGGTGATTCCGTTCTCTGTAACACAGAAAGGAAACCCCAAATCTCTCAACAATGAAGAAATGCACAGAAGTGTCAGACGTCATAGTACACACCTGTAGTCCCAGCACTCAGGGAGGCAGAGGCAGGTGGGTTTCTGTGAGTTTGAGGCTAGCCTGGTCTACATAGTGAGTTCCAAGACAGCCAGAGCTACATAGTGAGACTCTATCTGCCACCACCAAAAAGAAAAAAGAAAAAGGAAAAACAAAATCAGAGCAATGAATTCCCATTATAGTTACTCATTTACTGGCACAAAGTGAAGCCAAATGAAAGGTTTTTTGTTTTGTTTTTTAAAAATGATCATAATTCTCCATGTATTCAGACTGAGCTACCAAAGAAGGCCTTTATATGAACAATTTTTTGTTTGTTGTTTTGTTTTTTTTCTACACTGTTTTTACTGGCTTCAGGAGTGGTATTACCTAGGTCAAATAGAACATACACCTCTCAACAATGTCATACCCAGAGGCCTCTGAGTCACAGGTTCAGGGTGTAGACAAGATTCCCCAAATAGGGGATGTTTCCCTGTTCAACCTCTGTCATCAGCATTACAGCAGATGCAGCTCAGGCCTGTACTGGGCAACAGCAGAGAGTGACATCAGGAGTGGAGAAAATAAATGACAAAAGATTCTACGAGAACATGGTGTTTATTGCAGTGGTGTGGAATATACTTAGAGATACAAAGATTTAGATAGAGTTAAGAGGAGTTTCAGGCTGAAGCAGCCAAGTGAGCACATGCTATTTGAGCTCACTGGGATGGAGGCCTCTGTGGTGGATTGTATACAGCAGGGTAAAATTGTTATTCAGAGTGGGTGCCACTGTGCCTTGGTTGTAGGTTAGGCTCTCAGGATGCTATGACAAAAGCCACATAAGAACAGATTACTCTGGTGCTGGTACTTGGGATCAATCAAGGATTGGGTTGCAGGAAATAGGGAGGACAGCCAGGAAACTAAGGTTCATAGTTAGAGTTCTTTCTATCTTACTTCCAAAGTTAAAGGTACAGAGGGTCTCTAACATGCTGGCAGATCTTGAAGTTTAGGTCTCCCCTGAAAAGTGGAGAGTAGGAGTAAAGGCTGTTAGGTGACACCCTGAGAAACAGGGTACAATGGTCTGTGCCCCTGTGCTGTTTCCTCTGTGTGTATGTCAGCAGTTGGGTAAAGAACATTTACGTTACAGCTGAGCTTACTGTTGAAAGGATTCTAACTAGAAAATACAGGTAAAAGACCTTTGTTGTGGGTAAGGTCATGCCGCATTGTGGGTGCAGTGGTGTTTGTTAGTGTTCCTTGTGGACTAAAGCAGCCATGCTGACTTAGTTTGATTGTTCTGGTCAGTAGGCATGATAGGAATGTTCTGAAGCACATCCTATTCCCACTGCCTTTTATCCTTCCACCATGGTAGAACTTCCCCCTCTATTTAGTACCTGTTGAAGGTCTCAGATTGTCTCCTTCACTTCACTTGTTATGTGTGTCCTTACACACCTCCCTCAGCACTTGACTATCAGCCCATCCTGCCTACAGTTCCTACAGTATCTAGAATTATCTTTTTCTTTCATGTGCTTTTTTTTCCTCTTGGTTTTCCATTTCTCTACACCTGTGATCTAAAAGGTCATTGGTGAGTAGCTACATGGAAGGATTACCAGAGGATAGTAGCATTTGGAGGCAACACAGAAAGGCTATGTCACAGCACTGGATGAGATGGCTCATCTGCTAGCCATCATCCACAGTAACAGAACTCACCAGAGGCAAGGGATTCAGCAGCTGCCCCCGCCAAGGAATAGCCAGCAGCCCGGGGTACCAGTGCACAACAGGAGTAAGAGCCCAAGCCACAGAGTAAGTTCAGGAGACTTCTTTTGTGAGAGAGCAGAAAAGAGCTTTTCTGGCCACCAACATAAACATGAGGCTTCCTCATTCTGTGCTTGGCGCATAGATATAAGAGAGAAGATGGGAAGTAAACCAGGACTACGAATCAACACTCTGGAAATACAAAGTATTTGTGTGAGAGGGACAAAGTGTGCCAAGAAGCTGTTCCAGGGATATATGAGAAAAACTTCAAAATAGGCAGCACATGGTAAGGCATGCTGGCTCATAACTCAATCTAACACCTGGAAAGCTAAGCCAGGAAGATTGGAAGTTCAAGGCCAGCCTGAACTGCATAGAGAGGCCCTGCCTCAGAAAAGAAAAATGAGCATTTTATGTCTATAGGGTATCATTTTAATAGCAGATGTAGAAATGTAAACTCTGTTCACACAGTCTATTTATATGCATGTTCTCAATTCTGTGTTTCTTTCAGTCTAACAAAGCAGTTAGAAATTAAAGTTTCCAGTGTCCTTTCCATACAACAAAGCCCATCAAAGTCTGTTTATTAATGTTTTTCATGTGCACACTTGAATCAATCTGGAAACTGAGTAGTTCCATAACTATGTAATCCTCACATCTGGCAGTTCTCATAATTGCTATCCTTTTCTCATCAGTGGAAGTGTTTTTTCCTATGAAGTGTTTTGGAAGCTATCAGAAGTAATACTTAGATCGTTTGTTCCTTTATATGCTCTCTCTCTTTCACTATTGCTCAATAACTGTTTCAGGTCAAGTTAGCAGAAAGTTGTTGGGCACTACACTTCAAGAGTAATGCTATATGGTTACTGAGATGAAAAAGACACTCAGGCAGTCTTGTCTTAAGGGAATTTCATAAGCTAATCAAAGCTATCAGTTAGGATTTGTGCAAAGTGACACATGATGACACCTGTGCAGCCGCTGCAGTTCAGTGCCGTCAGCTGCCTCTCACTGGAGAAGGAGTAAGAGCCTGCTCTAGCCAGTGTAAGCATACTTCCTGAATTGTGCATCAGAAAGCCCAGCTGTGGTGGCAGCTTCATTTCATGTACCACGGGGACAGAATTAGCAGGACGTCAACCTATATACTCTCAGGAACAGAGCTGCCAAAGCTGCTTGCCCCACAGTGTAGCAGCACCTCTGCCTCACACAGCCACGTTCATTCCTTTAATGCATACACTTGGACTGAGGTTGCAGCATACGGAAAGTTAAGTAGCAGTGCATAAGGGCACAGTGAGCCCCAAATAAACGGTGTTCGGGAAGGATTAGTGCAGCTCTAGACATCAAAGGCCGTATGGGCCCTATGCTGTGAATGATGAGCACCTGGCATCATTAAGAATAAGTTTAGTTAAGATTACGGTGGGGTTTTGTTTTAAAGACAGCAGGACGTTGAAAGGGCAATATGACACTTATATTTATTGGGTAAGCGACTAAGTTAATCAACTTATTGGTGAAATAGCCTAAATTTTTCTAGTTATGCATTTAGCAATACTGTAAATCAATTTCTATAGGATAAGAGAAGAATGGTTATAAAATCTACCATTTAAAAATGTTTGTCTGGGGCAGCAAAAGGGGGAGGTACAGATGGGAACTGATGAAGAAACCCACAGCCGAACAATAGGCAGAGCCCAGGGAATCCTGCAGAGGGGTTGTGGGACAGGATTGTAGGAGCTAGAGGGGTCAAGGATACCACAATAGATCAAAAGAATCAACTAACAGGACTCATGGGGGCTCACAGATACTGAACCCAAAATTGGGGAGCCTATATGGATATGACCTAGGTCCTCTGTGTATGCGTTATGGTTGTATAGCTTGGCCTTGTGGGACGCCTAACAGTGGGAGCAGAGGCTGTCTCTGATTCTTTTGCTACTTTTGGTACCTTTTCCCCCCTGGTGGCTTGTCCATCCTTAATATATGGGGAAGTACCTAGACTTATTAAAACTTGATATGCCATGTTTAGTTGATATTCCTGGGAGGCCTTTATTTCTAAAGGAGAAGGAGGCAAATTGGAGCTGGGAGAGAGGAGAGGTGGAGAGTAGGAGGGGAAACTGTGGGGACGTAATATATGAGGGAAGAATTTTTAAGAAGGACGGGTATGGGAAAAAATGTTGGTCTGGGGAAATGGCCCAGTAGGTAAAGTATTTGCTGTTTCAGGTATGAGTAACTGAATTCAGATTCCCAACACTCTGGTCCACACTTGATGTTGCAAGACATGCCTATAACCGTAGCTGTAGGAAGCAGAAATAGAAAGATCTGCGGACTTACTATTGACCAGCCAGCCAGTCTAGCCAATCGTCCAGGTTCGGTGAGAGACCTTTACCTCGAGAGAGAGAGAGAGAGAGAGAGAGAGAGAGAGAGAGAGAGAAGAAAATGATAGAGGAAGACACCTGACATCATTTACTTCTGGTCACCAAAGCATGCACACTTACTCACAAGTTAAATACCTGATAAACTTTTTTCATCGATAGCCTGGAGATTGTTGTCATTTATTTTGAGTTCTTCCAGTGTAGATGGTAATTCTGAAGGAATATGTACCAAACTATTTCCATCCATGTTCAGGCGTATTAACTTCTTCAAAAACTTAAAAAAACAAGTCTCAAAATTACAATTATTTTCCAGTCACAGCTATTTTGCAATATTCCCCATATAATGGTCAGTCTTATTTTGTGAGGCCTAAGATTCTAACTTCTTAGCAATAAACAGAATTACCTGAATCCAGTAATTTAAACCTGTTGTGAATGTTAATAGTTAATTATAGTATATTTATAAAGTGCAGTTTTCTAATTGCATTAATATTTATGCTAGAAAAATATTATAAAATAGCACTATATGGATGGGTAGATGGGGGAGAGGATCAGGAAGGACTTGGAGGGGAAGAATATGATCAAAATATATTTAAATTTAAAATATATTAAAATATTATATTTAATATAAAATTAAAAATTTAAATTGTTTTAAATAATTAAAATATAATAAAAATGTCAAAACAAAGTGATTGTATATAGTTATCCAGGCATTGACTTTCTGGACGGTGAGCTCCCACAGTTATGATTGCTGCTGCAGGACCACTTCTAAGCTTCACCAGGACAGAGGATCCCCAAATCAAGAAGCACAAAATCTATGACATTTTTCTTTACTTGGTCAGTTATAGGATAAATCTGCACCATCTGTGCCAGCCATTTATGTCAGAAGGATGGAGAATATGAAGCAGGCACTTAGAAGTCCCCTCATCTTCCTGAGAACTAGGAGAGACTCCAAGAGGCCAGTCATTTATTTCAAGGGCAGAGCAAGGGCCCAGAATATTACTCAAAGGGGGAGATTAACCTAGTAGATACAGTGTGCTTTACTTATGGCTTTAAGGCATATAATCTGTGTGTTCTCATTTATGCACACCAACCTTCCCTCTCTTGCTTCTATTTTTGTTTCCCTGAAATTCCTTGATCTTTGAGTATTTTGTCTTTTTTTTTTTTCCCAAAAGAAATTGTTCACTCAAATCTGTTTTCTTCAAAGGTTTCCATTGTATATTTGCTGTCCTTTCTTTTTCACTCCAGGTCCCTAATCTATCTCATGAAAATTTTCATATTAGCTCATTTATTTGTTTGCTTTTTAATCTCCCTGCCAAAATATTCTCCACCATATTCTACCCACTGTGCAGAAGTAAGAAAGCTTCACTTTACTGGCCTGACCATTTTAATAGAGGCTCTACAGAAGTTCTGCTCTATTGCTGGACAGTTCTTCACATGCCGAGAGGCCAGACTTGAGTTTATCTTCACCTACTGGAAAAAAACTGTTCCTTAAACTCAAAACATTAGTTACTGTTGCCTCTCTTCTTTTCTTGTTCTTTCCCCCAACCCCTTTTCGAGACAGGGTTTCTCTGTGTAGCCTTGGGTGTCCTGGACTCACTTTGTAAGACCAGGTGACCTCGAACTCACAGAGATCCACCTGCCTCTGCCTCCCTGAGTGCTGGGATTACAGGTGTGCGCCACCATGCCCACTTGTTGCCACTCTTCTTATAAGATTAACATGTCTAAAGCAACAAACTATAATCAAGAAAGAACATGGCAATAATTTAAGGACATCAGAGAAGAAACTTAATATAGAAGAAAATTAGCAATAAAAAAACCTTTCTGCTTATTTTTCCCTTTCTCACCTCCACCCACAGCCAGTAGGAGCCATCTTGTTACATACTAATAGAAGTGTGTACCTTGAATGCTTTTCGACCTATTCCCGAAGAAGTGATATTATTTCTGCTCAGATCAAGTCTTTCCAAATTTGGTAATCCATTAAATGCTTCATCAGGAATGGAGATGATTGAATTACCTATATGTACAATCGTTGCATTAGACACGTGTGTATATAGACATGTCCATATACTTATATGTGTGTGCATGTCTCCTTATACATGAATATTAAGAGATAGATTTATATGGAAAGTAAAGTAATATTCAGAACAAAGGACAGGAAATATAAACAAATGCACACTTGGAAAAATAACAAGATTGGGCTGACACAGTTTAACAGTCAAAAGTGTGTCTTGGTCAGGACCTCATGATTCAGATTAAGCTGCTTAAAATAACCACAACAGTGTGTTGGGCAGGGCTAGTAGCACTGTGCATTCACAAAAAAGCTATGTTTCTGAGAGGCTTGACAGAAACTGACTACTTCCTTCGTATTTTTCCACTGCTGTTTCCCTGGACTTGGAAACATGACGTGCTATGTAGCCAAGAAATCAAACGAAAATCCCTTAGTGTCTGTGTGTTTGTTTCTCTGTAAAAGTTCACCCACCGTATCTGATAGTATACCTTTCTCTCTTCAAGCTAAGAGGATCCTACATCCTTCATTTTATAGACTTGTCTTAACACTTGACTAAATACAGCTATCGATGGTTTTAATCACCTTGTAAAACAAAGACTGTATAATCCTATATGGATTATTTATCCCTCCTGTGACTTTAGTCTTTCACTGAGTCTTTATAAGGAACAGGGTACCTGCCACAAAGGCCACAGGAAAAGGCTTCAAATTCATTAAGTGATTTTATATGAAAACCTATTGTCAAGGAGACCACAAGAAATTTTAATATGTTTGACACTGGCAGCATCCTATTGCTGACTTCCATTCCTGCATGTATATCTTGGATCCATCCTGATCTCCTCACCTCTGCATTCTAAGGACACCTCTGCCATGGTGTCTCTATAAGCCAGACACTCAAACAAATGCTGTCTTAATACTCCACCACTCAGAACTTTCCCTGGTAACCTGATGGAGACATGGGCTAAAGGTCTGGACACCATATTCTCATTGGAATAGCTCAAGAAAAGAAAAGAACTGATGAAACAATCCGCTGAGGTTGCAGAAGAGCCATAACTGCTTGTGGCAGTGGGACACGTTTTAGGTAGTTCCTTAAAAATGTTCTACCATATCTCCCAGCTCCTCTAGGAGTAATGAGAAATGAAGGTGTGGGTCCCCACAAACATCTCTACAGGCATGTTTTAGCAGTTACAGACAAAATTGTCTTAAACTGGAAAAAATCACACATTCACTTGTTAATTTACACAATATCATTGCTAAGAAACAAAGGAAAATAAACTTGTGATTTTTAGAGCATTAGAAGTCTAACTGAAAGGCTTACTGTGTGATTATATTTAGTAACACTCAAAAATCAAATCAGTAAACACAGAAAATGGGTCAGTTTCATGGTGGTCAGCAACTGGAGGAGATGGAGATACAAGGAATTTGGGGAATGATAAAAATATTTTTTATCTCAAGTGTGGTGTTATTAATATTTGTAAAAACTTGTACAACTATACATTATAAATAAGTTTTATCACATAAAGTATATCCCATTAAAGCCAATCTTCTAAAATGTTTCTTGGGAAATCACCATTTGATTAGAGTTTGCTTTAAACCTAATTGGGCCATGCTGCAGTGTGTGTGCCCATCTCTGCTGCACAGTTGATCTGTATGAAGATGATAAAATTAGTCCCTATTAAATTAACGTAACATTCATAGGACAATAAATTTTACCATCTATATCTGAGCATGAAATATGTCATCATCTCTTACCAGCCAGCTCCAGGCTTGTTACTTCTGGTGCTGTTATTGGTGGGATGTGGGTGAAAGCTGCATGGAGGCAGCTGATCGTCCTGTAGGACAGCGAACAGCTTCTGGGCAGTCGTGGCCTATGTCTTGGGATACTAGGGGTTAACCGCGAAGGCATTTGGAACACATCTCCTCTTACTACATCCTCCTCCTCTTCTTCCTCCTCTTCCTCCTCTCCTTCCTCTCCTTCCCTGTCAGTTTCCTCCTCACCATCCTCTTCCTCACTTCTTCCATGGTAGAGTGGTTGATGTGCTGACCTGCCTTCCTCCTCAGGTCTCAGCTTTCCCTCTGTTCTTTCCCCATCATTGTGAAGTTTAGTAGGCTCAGCGGTCTCTTTCTTGTGCGCCATATGTCCTTTATCTTCTTCTTCATCCTCCTCAGATTGAAGAGCTTCTTCTATGACTACTTGATCCATTTCCATCTGAGGAGGTGGCCCTTGCTTGTGAATGGATTCTCTTTGTTCTGAAGAATCACCAGAAAATTCAAGTTTATCATGTAGTGTTCTACTACTGAATAGAGAATAGGAGGCTAATGATCATGGAAGGATGACATAATGGAGGCAAGTTGATGATGTTAATAAATGCAAAAGTCATAATGAAAATGAGGTTAGTAAATATTATTCCCTCTCTGTATTTGGACTGCTATGTAAAGATGAATTGCAGTCGAACTTTTTCTCCTTCGAGTTAACTATAACTTTATTTTTCTTTTGTAGGATTTGCTGTAGATGTGTGATTTTGGTGTCTGTGAGCCTTAGTACTGTTTTGTACTAAATAATGTAATACTTGTTTTCACCAGAATATGATGCTAAATTGGTTAGCTAAAGAGGGAATAATATTGCCACATGATGCAAAACAGAAAGGTTTATTGTGAAGCTTTGATGCGATTAGATAAGATACCATTATAATAGATACTGTTCTGTAGATATTTGACAGACAGTAGAGAAAGTACAGTCTAGATTTATGCTCACTCTGGAGAGCTCTAAAGAGAAATGAGTTCATAGTGCATAGGTTTTCTTCCATCAAAAGTTAGGATATAATCTAATCATCTCTCTAGTTTTAATTGATAATCACATACAAACTAGCCCCCAGAAGGAACACAAAAATATGATTATTTGAAGAAGTTACTTGTGATATCCATTCAATATATATTATGAAATCTGAAGATTTGCTTTTTACATCCACAGTGAAACATGCAGAAGAGGTAAAATTATTAAATGGAAGCAAAAGGTATCCTATTTCACCACTTTAAATCTTTTTTGTGTCCAAGTCTTCTTATCTAAAATAACTACATTTCAAGAAGTCTCCAGATCCTTTTAAAAATGTCTGTGAAGATCCAGGCACGGTGGCGCACGCCTGTGATCCAGCACTCAGGGAGGCAGAGGCAGGCGGAGCTCTGAGAGGTGGGCCAGCCTGCGCTACAGAGTCCAGGACAGCCAAGGCTACACAGAGAAGCCCTGTCTCAAACTCATCCCCTCAAAAGAATTTCTGAATCTTGCCTATAAGGCTTGTATTTTACTTCAAGGAGTCGGTAGCATTTAACTTTTTTTTTTTTTTTTAAGTGTAATGCTTCAGGCAAAGCTTGATGGTGTAGGACTTTAATCCCAGCAACTGGGTGGCAGAAGTAGAAGGAGGGGACTTCCTGTGAATCATTCCTTTGTGCTCATGATAGTGATAGTATACTCCTGACAAGCTTGACTAAACAGAATGATGCATATACAGACAGACTCTAGTAACACCCTGAGCTAATAAATCAGGGTTTGTTGTAGGAATACTGTTAGTGTGTCTCGAAAGCCTTATAAGATCCACACATGAAATAGAATCAGCTTCAACTTGACTCAGTCTGAGAATTAGAACTACAGAGCACAGTCTCTTTCTGTACCCTAAATAAATTTTTCTAAATATTCTGTTTATCAGCACTGACCTGCCTGGGTGACTTTTAAGTGCCTTTTGAGTACCTTGATGACTACATTTATAATAATTCGCATCTTAATGTAATGACAAAATAAAAAGAAATAGAAGTTAAAGACTAAATTATCCATGATACTTTGTTTTATATTGTATACCAGCATTAGAGCAGATGGGGCAGCATTCTCCTTCCAGTCTTATGGTATAGGGGCACGCCTTGGGGTAGCACACAGTTTCATCACAGAATACTCTTCCATTTGAGCAGAGGCAGGTGGTGCAGGGCTCAGGAGACCAAACGGCTTTGTTGTACATGATCATGCCCTTTACAGAGCAGTGTCCTTTCTTTCCTAGAAGAGAAAGGGAACACTTTGTTTGTGACAGGGTCTCTATTATGTAGTCCTGACTGTCCCAGAACTCACTGAATAGACCAGGCAGACTGGCCTCGAATTCACAAGAAATTAATCTGCCTCTGCCTCCAAGTGCTAGGATTAAAGGAGTGCACCACCATGTGCAGGGTTATCCATGAATAGATAAAAACACAGTGCAAAGTCAAACTGGTGCAACCACTAAGAATTGAGCTCCCTATGCAGCGATGCACCCACAATGCCCTATAGACTCGTAGGCTGAAATGTTCTCTCCATTTTGCCGCTGAGTGATAGCCTAGTAACTGGTCTTTGAATTTCATACCCATCTTCTATTTGTCAAGAGAGACTTAAGTTCTGAAACAGGACAAACAACCATCAAAACCCAACTGTTTCTCATTTACTTAAAGTATATGCTGGGGCTCAGCTTGCCTATAATCCCTCTGCAACAGACAGCATGCTTCTTCTGGCAGACTTCCCCTTTTGCCCCAGGAGTGAAAATAGAAGTTTACAAATTATGCTTGAGTTCTAAATGTATTTAATTCTACTGGCAGAGTAAGTTGTATGGCCACACCAAAATTCAGCAGAAGCAAAGAGTATCACTCCCTCCCAACACAGAACTGCAAGCCCACTAATGAGCCCACAGTTCACCTGTAGACTGGCGCACAGAAAAAGATAAAGCAGTATGCTTCTGTGGACTGCTCAGCAAGACAGTACAGCCCTATGGAGTTGTAATTTATTTTGAAATAAAATTCACATAGCAAAATAATCACCCTTTCACATTCGCTTTCTTCTGTGAGTGTATGTGTGGGCACATCCATGTGAAAGCCAAACACAACTTGCTGGGAGTCAACTCTGGTGTTAGCTGTAGCACAGTACTGTCATTATAGTATATGTCCCTAAATTGAACAATGTACAGTGCTTTAACAGGTGAAGTTTATGTTATGTGTGGAAATATGGTAAAAAGCAAAGCATGCTCTTACTCCATGCATGGGCCTTAGTTCGGTGCTTCTGTTTCCTCAAGCCCCTCTGGGTTAGTTGGCTCTGTTGATCTTGTGGAGCAACTCTCACCTCCAGGTCTTCCTAGCCTTCCTTTCACTTTTCCACAAGACTCCCTACGCTTCTCCCAATGTTTGTCTGTGAGTCTCAGCATCTGTTTTGATCCACTGCTGGAGCCTCTCAGGGGACAGCTATGCTAGGCACCTGTCTGCAAGCATAGCAGAGTAACATCAGTAGTGTCAGAGGTTGGCTCTGTCCCATGAAGTGAGTCTCAGGTTGGGCCAGGCATTGGTTGGACATTCCCTCAATCTCTGCTCTATCTTTATCCCTACATATCTTGTTGGCAGGATAAATTTTGGGTCAAAGTTTTTGTGAGTAGGTTGGTGTTCCCATCCCACCACTAAGAGTCCTGTCTAGTTAGAGGGTGTCCTGTTTAGTCTCCATGACCCCTGCTACTAGTAATCTCAGTTAGAGTCACCTCCATACCCTCCCAGAAGCCTACCCTGTCTTTGTAGCTGATGGGCAGCTCAGGCTTCATGTGGGTTCCCTAGTAAGGGAAGCAGGGTCTGTCTCTGACATGGACTCTGTTACCTGCTTTGTGATCACCTCCTTCTGGTGGGGCTGTCTCACCAAGCCACAGGGAAAGAGAACTTTCTCAGTCCTGGTGCGACTTGATGAGATGGGGTGGGTTGAGGGGCTCTCCTTTTATAAAGGATAGGAGAGAGGGTGGGGGAAGAGGTAAGGAAGGGAGGAAAGGATGGAGGAGGGCTACAATCAAGATGTAAAGTTAATTAATTAATGTTTTAAAAAATTAAAACAAAAACAAAGCATGGGCTATGAGATGCCTGGGCAGATTGAGGTGCTTACTGCCAACTTTGACACCTGACTTGACTCCCTAGGACTCATAGTGGAAGGAGAGCTGACTTCAGCAGGTTGTCCTCTGGCCTCTGCACAGTTGTGGAAGCACATGAGAGGAGCCAGTGGTGGCACACACCTGGAATCCCAGCACTTGGCAGGTAGTTCTCTGTGGGTTCAAGGTCAGCCTGGTCTACAGAGCAAGATTCAGGACAGCCAAGGCTACACAGAGAAACCCTGTCTGAATGCCCCCCCCGCCAAAAAAAAGCACATGCAGAAAATAAATTAAAATGTTTTCAAGTAATTTAAGACTACTGGAAAACACTTTTGGACAATTTGGAAATATTTTGTGCATTTTCTTTTTTGTTATTGTTGTTTGTTTTTGTTTTTGTTTTTCAAGACAGGGTTTCTCTGTGTAGCCTTGGCTGTCCTGGACCAGGATGGCTTTGAACTCACAGTGATCCACCTAGCTCTGTCACCCTGAGTGCTGGGATTAAAGGCGTGCATCACCATGCCTGGCTAGTGCATTTTCTATACTTATTTGCTGATACCAACTTGTGGGTTTTGGTGGTGGTGGTGTGTTTTCTTTTTTAAGTCAGTGATTTGTACTTGTTGTAGTCCCAACTAAGGAGGATTGCGGGATCTAGGAGTTTAAAACAGGCTGGGCAACATGAAACTCCTCATCCCAAAAAGAAAAGTAAATTGGATCTACATATGAGAACATGTAGTAATTTTTCTTTCTAAGTCTAGATTACAGTGCTATAATAATTTAATATTTTTTCTTTTAAAGATTATTTATTTAAAAATGTCTGGATGGTTTGCCTCCATGTACATGTATCACATACATACAGTGCCCCAAAAAGTCAGAAGACATCGGATTCCCTGATACTGGAGTTATACACTGTTGTTAACCATTTTGTGGGTGCTGGTTCTTCTATAAGAACAGCAAGGGCTCTTAACCACTGAGCAATCTCTCCAGCCCCAATATAGCATTGTTTAGACCCATCTATTTTCTCTTAACCTAATTCTTTTAATTTTTATATGTGGGTTTAAATAATATGTGGGTGTGAGTATTGGTATAGGTTATAAAATGGGAAGGCAATGGAACACTCGTGAAAGAAAAGCATGAGAGAGGGCCCTAGAGTGGAAGCAGAGTGTTAATGGGGATAAGGGCTGGGAGAAGGAAGGTCAACAAAAAATATATTTGAAAGTGCCACAATAAAACCTAATACTTTGTATGCTGATTGTTAAAAACTTTTTATATTTGATTTTTAACTCTGTATCTGTGTGTAGGTTTGTGCATAAGAGTACAGTGCCCGTGAACAGCAGAATAAAATACAGGATCCCCTAGAGCTAGAATTGTGTATGGTTGTGAACCACCTCATATGGAGTCTGGGAACCAAACCCCAGGCCTCTACAAGAGCAGTGTGAGCTCTTAACCACTGAGCCATCTTTCCAGTCCCTGAGGTGGTGGTGGTGGTTGTTGCTGTCGTTGTTTTAATAAGTAAAATAGTACCTTTCTAAAAAAATAATGTTTGTGCCAGCAAGGATGGCTCAGTAGATAAAAGTGCTTGCCACGGAAGGATGAAATTGACTTCTTAAGGCCATCCTCTGACCCTCACATAGGTGCTGTGGTATGTGGCCCCTGACACACACATATATCATGCACACACAAATAATAAAAATTTAAATAAATAGATTTTAAATAAAATGTTAGGTATATGAATCCACATACATGTTACTTTGGGTACTTTTAATTTCCATTTATAACTTAAATAGCTTTCGTTTAACTGAGATGATGTCTTTATGATTCTTTGGCATTTAATGGATACACTTGTCATTTATATTTTTAGCAAAGATAGCCTAATTTCCTTTTTTTAATATAATTTTGTTATTTCTGTTAATGTCATGAAAGAGTAATTAAGACTAACAGCTTTGTTGAAACAGAGTGTAAAACACTGGCTACAGAGGATTATGTGAGGATATTTTCTCTTGTTTTTCAAAGATTTATTTAATGGTAACATGCCTATAATATGTTTACTTTTTTCCTGTTTTGTAATTTTTTTTACATTTAAAAAATTATTTATTACAGTTTATTCCACTTTGTATCCCAGCCATAGCTCCCTCCCAATCCCACCCGCCTTCCTCTTCTCCTATGCCCCTCCCTCAGTCCAATGATAGGGGAGGTCCTCCTCCCCTTCCCTCTGACCCTAGTCTATCAAGCCTGATCAGGAATGAATACATTGTCTTCCTCTGTGGACAGGCTGCTCCCTTACCAGTCCTCCCTCACCAGGGGGAGGTGATCAAAGAGCCAGCCCCTGATTTCATGTCAGAGACAGTCTCAGTTCCCATTACTAAGAAACTCTTGGACACTGAGCTGCCATGGGCTACTTCTGTGCAGGGATTCTAAGTTATCTCCATGCATGATCCTTGTTTGGATTATCAGTCTCAGAAAAGACCCCTGTGCCCAGATTTTTTGGTTCTGTTGCTCTCCTTGTGGAGCTCCTGTCCCCTCCAGGGCTTTCTATCTCTTCCTTCTTTCATAGGATTCCCTGTACTCTGCCCAAAGTTTGGTTATGAGTCTCAGCATCTGCTTTGATACCCTATTGGGTAGAATCTTTCAGAGGCCCTCTGTGATAGGCTCCTGTCCTGTTCCCTGTTTTCTCCCTCTTCCGATGTCCATCCCATTTGCCTTTCTGAATGAAGGTTGAGCGTCTTACCCAGGGTCCTCCTCCTTGCTTAGCTTCTTTAGGTGTACAGATTTTAGTATGATTATCCTATATTATATGTCTAATATCCACTTATAAGTGAGTATATACCATGTGTGTCTTTCTGCTTCTGGAATACCTCACTCAGGATAATCATTTCTAGATCCCACCATTTGCCTGTGAATTTCATGATTTCTTTGTTTTTAGTTGCTGAGTAGTATTCCATTGTAAATTGTGTAAATGTACCACAATTTCTGTCTCCATTCCTTAACTGAGGGACATCTGGGTTGTTTTCAGCTTCTGGCTATAACAAATAAAGCTGCTACAAACATGGTTGAGCAAATGTCTTTGTTGTATACTTGAGCATCTTTTGGATACAAGCCTAGGAGTGGTATAGCTGGATCTTGAGGTAGCACTATTCCTAATTGTCTGAGAAAGCGCTAGATTGACTTCCAACGTGATTGTACAAGTTTACATTCCCACCAGCAATGGCATAGGGTTTTCCTTTCTCCACATCCTCTCTAGCATGTGTTTTTACTTGAGGTTTTTTTTTTTTTTTTTTTTTTTTTTTTTTTTTTTTTTTTTTTTTTTTATCTTAAGCCATTCTTATGGGTGTAAGGTAAACTCAGGGTCATTTTGATTTGCATTTCCCTGATAGCTAAGGATATTGAGCATTTCTTTAAATGTTTCTCTGCCATTCGATACTCCTCTGTTGAGAATTCTGTTTAGCTCTGTACCCCATTTTTTTAATTGGATTACTTGGAATGAATAGAAGACCCAGAAATAAACCCACACACTTATGGACACCTGATTTTTTACAAAGATGCCAAAACCATACAATGGAAAAAAGATAACATCTTCAATAAATGGTGCTGGTCTAACTGGATGTCTACATGTAGAAAAAATGCAGATAGATCCATACTTACCACCCTGCACAAAATTGAAGTCAAAGTGGGTCAAAGACCTCAGTATAAAACCAGACACACTAAACCTTTTAGAAGAAAAAGTGGAGAAGAGCATTGGACTCATTAGCATAGGAGACAAATTACTGAACAGAACACCAACAGCACAGGCTCTAAGAGCAACAATCAATAAATGAGACCTCATGAAACTGAAAAGGTTCCGTAAAGCAAAGGACACTGTCATCAGAACAAAACGACAGCCTGTAGTTGGGAAAGGATCTTCACCAACCCTTTATCTGACAGAGGGCTAATATCCAGAATATATAAAGAACTCAAGTTAAACAGCAATATGTTTGCTTTTAATCGTTAAATACTGGTTTCAAAAAATAATTACTTGAAATCTTTGGCATAATTTCCAGTCTTTTCATCCTTTAGAAAGTCAATATTCTGTATAAAATAAGTATGAGCACAGTGGCTTTTATTCTATTTCTACTTAACAAAGCTTTGTCTTAGCTAGGTGGTGTACACTTTGAATCCCAGCACTTGGGAGGTAGAGGTAGGCTGATCTCTGTAAGTTTGAGGCCAGGCTGGTCTACAATGTAAGTTCTAGGCAGCCAAGCCTACACAGAGAAAGCCTGTCTTGAAAAAAAATAACAACAACAACAAAAGAAAAAAAAAACTTTGTCTTGAAAATATTTAAGTAGCCCTATGTCAAAGTCATTTGATTGGCTTCCACTCTGGAAAATGCCATAATAAGTGAAAGGCATTTTTACTAATTAATACGTACATTGTTTGTATTAAGAATGTGATCAACCAAGTGCGGTGGTGCATGCCTGTGATCCCAGCACTCAGGGAGGCAGAGGCAGGCTGAATTCTGTAAGTTCCAGGCTAAGACAAAGCAAGTCCGGGATGCCCAAGGCTACCCAGAGCAACCCTGTCTTGAAAAAACAAAACAAAAAGGATATGATCAATTGATAATTACAGTTTTATAGTAGGAAATAATAATTTCCCAATGGGGCTGGAGAGATGGCTCAGAGGTTAGGAGCAATGTCTGCTCTTCCAGAGGTCATGAGTTTAATTCCCAGCAACCACATGGAGGCTCACAACCATCTATAATGAGATCTGGTGCTCATTTCTGGTGTGCAGGTCTACATACAGAGAGAACACTGAATACATGATAGATAGATAGATAGATAGATAGATAGATAGATAGATAGATAGAT